CTACTTGGGAGGCTGAGGCAGAAGACTCGCTTGAGCCCAGGAGTTAGAGGTTGTTGTGAGCTGTGATGCCATGGCACTCTACCCAGGGAGACAGCTTAAGGGTCTGTCTCAAAAAAAAAAAAAAACGAATGCAAGTAAAAAGACAACTGACTAATGGCATGGCACGTGTAGCTCAGCGGCTAGGGCGCCAGCCACATACACCAAAGCTGGTGGGTTCAAACCCAGCCCAGGCCTGCCAAACAACAATGATTACTACAACCAAAAAATAGCCAGGTTTTGTGGTGGGTGCCTGGAGCTCCAGCTACTCAGATGGCAGAGGCAAGAGAATCCCTTAGGCCCAAGAGTTTGAGGTTGCTGTGAGCTGTGATGTCACAGCACTCTACTGAGGGCAACACAGTGAGACTCTGTCTCAAAAAAAAAAAGATACCTGACTAAAAGTGGCTGAAACAAAGATGTTTATCTTTTGTAACATGTCACCAACAAAAATGTCACCAGGGTTTTTTAGCCAGCCTTTTGTCCTTAAGACCGGTTACCTTGAGGCTGCAGCAGTTCCCTAACCTGAGCTGAAGAAGGTGAGACCCCTTTCTGTGAAAGGAACAAACACCTTTGAAGACTCCCCTTAGCAGACATCAGACATCTGCTTATATTTCAAGGGTAGCACCGAGTTAGGGGCCCTCTCTTTACCTAATTGTGACCAGGGGAAATAGGATGTTTCTGGTTGGCTTGAAGTTGTCACAGTTCATCCCTTGTGGCTGAGGGAAGGACTCGGAACAAAGTTAAGCAAGGAGGTCGGGTGGCTGCCGGCTGGTAACCACACGCGGCGCCACTTTCCCTGATGAGCTCTTCTGCTAACCCAGGAAAGGAGCAGAGTCCTGAGAGGTACAGTCCCCTGTCCAAGGCCACACGTGACCTCACACAAAGGGATGCAAACCCAGCCACAGGGCCCAGGAAGCTCCCCTCACCTTACCACATGGCTTTTCCACTATGGCAGCCCCTGAACCCCAAGAGGGCAAGAGCCCCATCCCCAAGACTCTCCGGGGTTGACAGAGGCATGACATAGACAAAGTGAATACCGTTAGAGAACAGAGCCCTCAGTGGGCCCAATTGTGCCTCACCCCCCTCGGACCCCAAGGCTCAGGAAACAAAGCACTTCTACCTTCACAAAAGGTGGGGTAGGTGGGTAGGCAGGAACCTTGGGCCTGACAAACAGCTCTGTAGCTGCTTGGACACTGGCCAAGATGCCTCATTCCCCAGGGCTGACCTCATGTTTCTGAAGAGGCTCAAGACGCCCCTCCTGGTTCACTTCTGCTGCCAGCAAAGGAAATGGTTGGGGCTGAAGACTGTGCAGAGAGATGAGAATGCAGAGCCCAAGATGCCCTCACACCAACCACCCCTGCCCTACCAGAGCCTTCAGCTCGTGCCAGCAGCACCTCCAGCTTCTGAGATGAGAACAGTGCCCACCTGCCTTCCTGCCTCGGCCAGTCTGAGGATGTCTCCTGAAGAAACTTTCACACTCTTGCTATTCTGTCTGGTTCCAGACTCCTGGAAAGTGAACAAAAGGCAATCGAACTTCATCAGAAGCTCTAAGAATATCTCTACAGTGAGTCGCATCACCCTGAAGGCAGCTGAGCGCTCACAGCCAGGCAGAGGCCTGTGCTTGGTGACAAAAGTAACTTCATTTAACCCAGAGCTGGACCTGCACCAACTCGGCCCTTTATATGGCCATCAAAGCAAAAGCTCCCAGGGTACTGAGGAGCATGTGCCCACAGACAAAAGCCTTTACACACATGGCCTTCACATCCAGACTGCCCTTCTGGGTCAAACTCCTACTTATGTTTTATAGCAGACAAAGGGAGCAGCCAGGGACTCAGCATGTGGCTGGAACCCAGCACATTCTTGTTCTCTTCCACGTCCTTCCAGGGCATCTCCCAGTCGAGGTATTTGTACTAGTCATGTTCGCTCAGAAGTTTTTATTCTCCTCCTATAACACAAGGGCTGAAAGCCATGTGAGGAAGAAGACATCCGCACGCATCCACTGTCCTGCCTTTGGCCTGACCGAGGAGGTCAGACATAGCAGCTGGCAGCTGCAAAGTTTCCCTGCTGGAGCCTTCCCCGGAGCAGAGGCTCCCACTCTTCAGAGCTTGAAAAGTCTGCATACCTTGAAAGAGTGCAGGCTGCAGGACTGCGTGAACTGCAGAATTTTCCATTTATAGAATAATCATCTTCATACCGCTCTGGGGGCCAGCATTCTCGTGGTAAGAGCTCAGAGTCCAGTGTCAGCAACCTGCCAGGTTTCTGGAGCCCCACGGCACCGAGGCTTTTATTTATTTTTGGTGGGAGAGGGGGAGGAAATAAAGGAATGGCTTTCTAACGTGAGTGCCAATACAAACTTGGGAAAGGAACTAGGTGGGCAAGGGCAGAATAATACTGCCTGGTTTCTGGACTCCTATCAACCATCAGGGGCCCGGAGGGAAGGAGACTGAAGAGCGTGCCTTCAACCCCTGACCCGTCAGGCAGTCAGAACCGGCCTTGCTGTGCTGCCTCATCCTCCCTTGGGCCTGCCAGCCAGGGCTCTGGGTTGCTCCCTGAGGTCAGGGGCCCTGCCCCAGAGCACGGCTTCCCACCTCACTTCTCTTCTTTCCAGCACTCCCTGTGCTATTTGACTTCTGCTGGTGCAAGCACAGACTCCCAGTCTGAAACACCTTGGAGCCTATGGTGTAGTGGAAAGGCCACCTGGCCTAGAGTGAAGGGACCTCAGTCCTCATTCTGGCTGGCTGTCACATAGTCACTATGTGGCCTTAATGAAGTCCTTCTCTTCTCTAGAGCTCATGTTCTTCATCTGTAAAGTAAGATTGGACTGAATGATCCCAAAGACCCCTTCCACTGCTGACATACTGATTAATTCACTCATTAGTTTTAATATTAACGGAGATAGTACTCACTTCAGCAGGACATATACAATGTTAACTGGCACAAGAATGGGCCATTCTCAACCTGCTAGGCACAGCTAGATCTCAGAACCTGTCCTCAGGTCTAATGAGGGCTGCCCCCGCTCACTGTTTCAATAGCCACGGTACAGAGTGAGGAAGGAAAGACTCCCACCATGCACTGAGAAGCCCACCCGGCCAACTACCTGGCCACCAGGGAAAGCATTTTCCTTATCCTGGTCTTAGGCGCCATCCTGAAAGTGTCCTCATACCTAAAACCTTTCCTACTTTCAATTAAATAAAAAGAAAAAGAAAGTAAGTTGGCTCTTTACCCAGAAAGGGCAAGACCACTTCTAATTTCCTAATGAAAACTCATCTTCTGACTTTTATTCTCCACATTTCTTACAACAAATATTTGTTTCAAAGTGTTAAATTATGATGTTGAATCTGCTTTGTTTTTCAAACTGCACATACGCTCCAGATTTCGATCCAGGCTCCTGAGGGTGAGGGGCTACATACACACACACACACCCCAAGGTGCAGTTCTAGGCTCTTAGGGCCGTCCTAAACTCTCTGGCCAGCAGATGTCCTGGCCCAGCCCCGCCCCAACCTAAGATGCAGGCTAATGGCCACCCAGTCTCGGAGCACCTGTAGAAGGCTGCTGCGTGCTATGGAAAAGTCTGCGTTTTTCCGCGGCTTACAACTGTGGGAACCATAACCTCTCTGAATCTCAGGATGTGTGAGGATTTCTCCCCGTGGAAAGCGCTCCAAAGCTGTGCAAACGGAAGTTACTTGATCGTTGGGCAGCTGTGATGTGAGAACTGCATCCTTCCATCGTATGCAGTCTTTCTCCGAACAGCTTTTCTTGTTGATGTTGATGAGAAGGGGAGCGGAGCTAAGGGGCTTCTCTGAATATGGGCCTAGGGCATTAAGGACTGGGAGGTGGGTGTGTGAACCCGTCACCATCCCAACCCCTGTCCTCGGTGAACCCACTACCAGGCCGAAGGAGACCCAGGCCCAGTCACCTATTCCAAAGCCAGAGCTCTGCGTTCCAAAGCAAGAGAGGGTTCCAGTAGCTGCCCCTCCCCAGTCCGCCTCTCCCCTACTTTCCGTGCACCGCCCGCGAGGGCAGGACACGCCCCTTCCCGGACTCCACCAATCAACATCCGGAGCGACGCCCGCGGCGCCGGGGGGCTCCGGTCGGCAGCCAATTAGCGCCGCAGCCCGACTCCCAGGCGGCACCTCTCCCGCTCCCTCCCAGAATGAAAGCGCAGAGCAGCTGGCTAGGCCGGCGCTGCTCGGGGCGCGGGAGGCACGGGGGCCAGAGCGGAGCGCGCGCACTGCCCTCCCGCCCCCGGCGCGCCCGCCGCCGCTCCGCCTCCGTCCGGGGCGCGGGCAAGGTGGCCGGGGCGGGGGAACGCAGGGGGCAGGGCCGCGGCTGTGAGACGGGAGGTGCGGGGGGGTAGGCGGGGAGGAGCGAGGCAGGATAAAAGGCAGCGAGGCGGCCCCACCCCGCGGCAGGCCGGCGGGCAAGCTCCGCGCGTCCCTTCCGTCCGGCCCGCGCCGGCGGCGGGAGGCGGGTGCGCAGCCCGCCCATGGAGGCTTTCCCCTGGGCGCCCCGCTCGCCCCGCCGCGGCCGCGCCCCCCCGTCCATGGCGCTCGTGCCCAGCGCCCGCTACGTGAACGCTCAGGGCCCGGCGCACCCGCAGCCCTTCAGCTCTTGGAACGACTACCTGGGACTCGCCACGCTCATCACCAAGGCGGTGGACGGCGAGCCCGGCTTCGGGTGCGGCCGCGGCGAGGACGGCGTCGGCGGCTCCGGCTCCCCGCCCTCCTCCTCCTCTTCCTCATCCTGCTGCTCCCCCCACGCAGGGCCCGGGCCCGGAGCGCTGGGGCCGACCCTGGGGCCACCAGATTATGATGAGGAGGACGACGACGACAGCGACGAACCGGGGTCCCGGAGCCACTACCTGGGGGGAGCGCTGGAGCTGCGCGCGCTGGAGCTGTGCACGGGCCCCGCCGAAGCCGGGCTGCTGGAGGAGCGCTTTGCAGAGCTGAGTCCTTTCGCGGGTCGCGCCACGGCTGTTCTGCTGGGTTGCGCGCCTGCCGCCGAGGTGACGCCGCGCGAGGAGCGGGCCTCGGCGTGGGCAGCCGAGCCCCGGCTGCACGGAGCCTCCGGGGCGACGGCTGCCCGGCTGCTTAAGCCCGACCTGCAGGTGTGCGTGTTCTGCCGGAACAACAAGGAGGCGGTGGCGCTCTACACCACCCACATCCTGAAGGGCCCCGACGGGCGAGTGCTGTGCCCGGTGCTGCGCCGCTACACGTGCCCCCTGTGCGGCGCCAGCGGCGACAACGCGCACACCATCAAGTACTGCCCGCTCTCTAAAGTGCCGCCGCCGCCACCTGCCGCCCGCCCGCCGCCACGCAGCGCCAGGGACGGCCTGCCAGGCAAGAAGCTGCGCTGAGGGCTTGGGCTCTGACTGCTGGCACCTGACGCCACTAGTGTCGCCGCCGGCCGTCTCGCCCTTGGTTTGCGCAGTTCTCTCTCCTTCGCTGTTGGGGAGGCGTGAAGCTCAGCAGTTGACTCAACTTGGGACATCGTCTTGGTGGTTTTCCAAAAAGCCTACCGTAATGGAGTATTTTCCTCTCGAGCTGTTGGGACTAGACGCTAAAATCTCGATTTGTCTCTATAGTTTCTAGTTTGCCCACATCCAGAACCGCGGAGGCTGGGTGTGTTGTTTGTATTCCAGTAACTGAAATATGGCAACTTAGAGGCGCTGTTTATTTACTGTATACGTCGACCTATTTTAGATGCGCGTCAGTATGAAATTGTCTAACTTTGAATGCTTCATTTTACGAATGGAGGCACTTTACTAGGTCTAGAATATTTTTTTAAAAGCCTCTACTGAGCTTAAAATCGGCGATTTTATGGAATGGTGGCAAAATGACTATTTTATTGTTTGAAATAATACTTAGTTGTCCTTAACTAGTTATTCTAATTCCAGGTGAAGCAAGCCCCTAGTAGCATCACCATATGAGAAGTGAAGGTTTTGTAAACTTTCCAGTATTAATTTGGGCGGGTATTCCTCCTTGTGGCTTAAGTCCTAGTAAAATGCACAATCTGTAGCAGGTAGAATACAGCTCCTTATCCTCCTATGTATCAGATCTTTTATTACTGAACTAGCAACTAGCTTTTTCCACCCTTAAAAATTGTGCCAAGTCAATCATATTGTGTATAACTTGGAAATGGTGCTGTTTAAAAAATGTGTATTTGTACAGTAACAGTATATGAATTCATTAACCATCTCTAACTTTCCTACTTGGCCTCTTCTCTACACACCCATACACTTCAAGTTCTTTAAAAACAAAATACTAAGATCAAAAGGGAAATTTACCCTGGATTGCTCAATTTCAGGGCCCCAGTGAAGGAAGGCTAACTCCAGCTGTTGCCTCTCAAACTAAATGGAAGTTGGATCTCTTGAGCTGCAGGATGTGAATAACCTGTGCTCAAGGTTTGCGGACTGTTTGGCTTTATGCATATAGGCAAGTCCTTAAAGCAGAGTAAACACTAATTAAAGGAACTGCCAGGGGTCTGTCACATTCTCATTCGTACTGGAAGACCCTAGTCTTTCTGGAACCCCACCACTTACCCATCAGCGAGATTAAACCTGATTGATAGGCAGTGGTTCCCAACCCCCTACTTCATTTACCACCCTCACTTTTTATCTACAATGCTGAATGCCACACTATGGCATGAAGCTACCTTCAAGACAGACATGGGAGGCAAAAACAACTAAGGTGAATTCAGAACGTACAAAAGCAAGTTTGTAAAAGTTACCAGCGGTTGTTACTCGTCAAAATGGATAAAACTCCCAATAGGTGGACTTACCTGGAGTACTGCAAGTTTCCTTCATTTCCTCTATAGCAAGTTGTCTTAATCTGAACACTCATTTTTAGGTATACTAGACGCTGGGGTAAATACTGACACTGAGTCTACATCAGAACTGAGGGGATAGGGCACAGGCACACTACTTCTGAGGAAAAAATATAATCCACACCTACTAGTCTTAACCCCAGACCAAAGAACTGCGTGTCTGATTGGGCGGTAGCTTAAAACCATGTCATTACTTGTTCCCTTTTGTTTTGCTAGAAAAGGTACCAGTTTTAGTTTTGCTTTTTGGGTAGTTTTTCAGGTCAATATGAATTCCCCCCTTACCTCTCTTCTACTGTTCTACCCTTTCAAAGGGGCCACTGTAAACAGATCAGTGGATTCTCCAGGCCATAAGGACTAGCAAGTGTTAGGATTAATTTAGCTACCTCATATGCCAAGAGTGAAGTATAGAAAATGTTTCTAAGGTCTCAGGTATGTGGCTTTGCTACATCCTCAATATATGGGAATCACTGTGATGGGATGTGTACAACCTGTTTTTGATACCATTACTATTTTACCAGAACTGGGAACGTGATGAACATGAAGCTTATTTAAGTCCTCTCCAGTCAGGATAGTGTTGGAAGAAGTATCCAGAAAACCCTAAAGCCAATTATCCATTATATTAGTCCATTTAACACACTGACTGCCACACTAGAAAAAAAAATTTTCGGCTCAGCGCCTGTGGCTCAAGTGGCTAAGACGCCAGCCACATACACCTAAGGTGGTGGGTCCGAATCCAGCCCGGGCCTGCCAAGCAACAATGGTGGCTGCAACCAAAAAATAGCCAGGCCTTGTGGCGAGGGCCTGTAGTCCCAGCTACTTGGGAGGCTGAGGCAGGAGACTCGCTTGAGCCCAGGAGTTGGAGGTTGCTGTGAGCTGTGATGCCACCGCACTCTACCCA